GGCTGGGGATTTGAACCCACCACCTTAGGTGTACGTGGCTGGCGCCCTAGCCCGTTGAGCTATAGGCGCCGAGCCTGAATCCTGTTTTGATTTAGCTTTATATTGTGAAAGTTTTCCCATTTGATGAAGTATCTAGTTAGAATCATAGGGTAAAGCTCTTCCACAGTAGGCCATTCTGCTATTTTTTTATTTTTATTTTTGTAGAGACAGAATCTCACTTTTTCACCCTCAGTAGAGTGCCATGGCGTCACACAGCTCAGAGCAACCTCTGACTCCTGGGCTTAGGTGATTCTCTTATCTCAGCCTCCCGAGTAGCTGAGACCACAGGTGCCCACCACAATGCCTTGCTATTTTTTGTTGCAGTTTGGCCAGGGCCAGGTTTGAACCCGCCACCCTCCATATATGGGGCTGGCACCCTACCCACTGAGCCACAGGCGCAGCCCTCATGCTGCTATTTTTAAGTTCACAAGCAATAACCAAAAAACCCTGTTAGTTAAACATTAAATTATTGGAAATAGAGAGGTTTGTATTGATATGGCTGATGAAAAATGTTTTAATAATATTTGTTCTCAAATAGTAGAGAGAGAAAAGAGGAAAGATGAGCTGCTTGACATTGCAAAGTCAAAGCAAGAACGTACAAATTCAGAACTGCATAACCTGAGACAGGTATGTTCTCACTTATCCTTCTCTGTAGGTGAGAAATATTTACAAACAGACAAAAATTAGGAAAAATGTATGTCACTTCTTTTTATGGTGTTTTTGGAATCCTAATTACAGTACATATATATCATATTTAACATAATAAGGAAGGTCTTACTGTGGTCAGTAAAGGTTAGGAGACTCGCTATTCTAATAAATCTTAGTGCTGACATAGGACGAATAAAGGCAGATGTATTTGGCATATTTCTCTTGTAACTATCTCATCAGTTAATAGGGTTTGAAAGCACCTAATTGTTGGTTCAGTTTGATTTTGTTATTACGTTTTATATTAATTTATCAATATCTATGGCAGATTTACGTAAAACAACAGAGTGATCTGCAGTTTCTTAATTTCAATGTGGAAAACTCTCAGGAATTAATACAAATATATGACTCAAAGATGGAGGGATCAAAGGCCCTGGAATCCAGGTAATCTTAGCAAGATTAATAAGATTTTATATTTTATCCTACCATTTGATCAGTATTTATTGCTTACTTACCATGGGCCAGTACTTAGTACTATTCAGCATATAGTACCAAATAAATGTATGTGAGCTGATAATTATCATTATAGTCCTGGATTACAATGAGACCTGATCTAAGAATTTGGGCATGATCCTAATTTAGCCTCTTGATGAAAATAAATTCATTAAATTTGATTTATGTCTGTTGGGTAGAAAGTTTTGAGCTATAGTAGCAACTGCAGTGATGAATCAATCATTCATTCAGCACTCACAGTGTTTAGGCACTGGGCTAGGAATGGGGAATAAAAAGATACATTCAACATGGTACTTGTCTGAAAGAATGCCAAAGAACAGCATCAACAGCTGCAGTAGATGGTCAGCTGAAGATGATCTGGGCTTCTAACTCAATTTTCCTGTTTCCCTTGTTAATAGGAAACGTTTTCCCTTACCTATAATAAGCAGTATAAGAATAAAATTGGTTTCTGTAAAATTAAAATATAAACATATACTATGTGGTTTAATTTAACAGGCATATAACTATACCACAGTTAAATTTAGTTAAATTTTCTAAGCATAAATGTTACAAGGAATAGTTAAAGGGAAGAGGGATTAGGGCGGTTCCCCATGAGTGGACATAACCATAGTCTGGGCTAGATTGACATCTGCTCCTTCCCCTGGGAGAATGGAGTTCAGAGCAATGGTGGTTAGCTGTAGAATGGGATGTCTGCACCTGTCTGCACTTCCTACCATACTTTCCTTCTGAGCCCTTCTGGGGTCATTGCTTTGTTGCTCTGTATCCCAGCTACGGCTACCAAAAGATGCCAAAATAGCACAGAATTCTCTTGTAGGCAAAAGCCCCCTGTATACTAGCTCTTTTTCCTTTTTGAATTTCATTGCCACTGGGAGACACTAAAGATGAGTTGTAGTTATTCCTTAAAAGCCTAAATTAACCAGGTGTGGTGGCTTGCATCTGTAGTCCCAGCTAATCAGGAGCCTGAGTTGGGAGGATTGTGTGAGCCTAGGACTTGGAGGCTGCAGCGAGCTACTATCATACCACTACACTCAAGCCTGGGTGACAGACTGAGCCCCCATCTCTCTCTCTCTTTTTTTTTAAAGCATGAAATGATTTATGCCATTATAGGAAAGAATTGTTTTCTAAGGTATCGTAATGATACAAATTAGAATACCTGAGTACATGTGACATGAAAAACTGTAAAAGAAGGTTTATGGAAAGATTTTATCACATTTACTTAGTATTCTTGAGTTTTTTGTGTCGTATAGACAACCAGTGCAATAGGAGTTGAGGATGGGAAATGGAAAACAAATGGGGTCTTGGTGGGCAGAGGCTTCCTGTAGGAGGTCAAGTTAGAATTGGGCTCTGAAGACCAGACAAGGGGTTCTTATTGCAATTTAGCTCTACTAGTGAGGTTGGGATGAAATATGTAGGATGATCACATCACGTATATCTTATAACCTTCATTTTTTTGTAATGCCACCATAGCAGAGACATGTGTTTATCAGACCTTGAAAATAATCACCCAAAAGTCGATAAGAGGGAAAAAAATCAGAAGTCACTGGTTAAGGACCCAAAATTTGAGGCCATGTTGATTCAGCAAAATAGGGCAGACAAGAGCTCTTGTGACATATGCAAAGAGAAGAAACTCCAGATTAATTCTGCATTTGGGGAAAAAAATCTAATTACTCTCTCATCTGTATTTACAAAAGACTTAATGGAGAAACAAAAACCTTGGTCTCTGGGAGGAAAAATCCAGACTGAACCTGAAAACAAAGTTACGTTTTGCAAGATCCATGGAAAATCACTAAAAGGTAATGGAATAGAGGTTCAGAATGAAGAGAAACAACTCTCGGAAGTATCAGCTTTATCTGATGAAAAGCAATGGCATGATGTCAATGTTTTCCTGGGTCTGGCCAACTGTCCAGGCTCCAAACAACCAGAGAGGCTGGAAGTGGAATGTCAAAATCATATGGAAAGGTCTGAAACCTCATGTTCCCAGAAAAATGTAGCCTGTCTAGGTGAAGGTGACATGTGTGAATCCAAGTGCTGCCACCCAAGTAACTTCATAATTGAGGCCCCCGGCCACATGTCTGATGTAGAGTGGATGAGTATTTTCAAGCCTTCCAAAATGCAAAGAATTGTTCGCCACAAATCTGTGTGCACTTGTTCAGAAAGCATCAGTGGGACAAAGTATAACTCCTCAATGAGGTTAGTAACAGTCACCACTGTAAATACTTGGGAGTCATATGTACCAGTGTTTGGAAATATAAAGGGCTGCAGTAGCCACTTCGTGCCTACTATTAAACAGAAATCAGTGTTTTCAAATAGGAACCTTGTTTAAGACAAACTATTCACTCCTTTCATCATAGCATACACTGCTGAGTCCTTGACTAGACAGAGCCTGTACTGGATTCCAGTGAAGAGTTTGTACTGAGGATGGCTTCTGAGGCAAAGGTTTTGTTTAAAAACAAAACCAGTAATTATGAGTTGGGCAAATATGTTTTATTTAAAAACAAATGGGTAGATCCCTGTGCAGAGTGGAATGCTGTTCTGGAGCATTCCTCACCCCAGGAACCACTCTGAATTGATAAGTTGACCCTTTCTGGTCCAGAATGCATTACCCATTTTATACCCCATATAAAAATTTCTATTGGGTCTTCTCCAGGCTCACTTGGCATATTCAGCTATGTCAGCCTTTGAGTTTGGTTCTTATCTGTTTTGGAAATTACATTTCCTAAACTTTCTTACTTAAAAAAAAAAATCACTGAGAGACTTTACCTAACAAATGCAATCAGTGGAACCTGTTATTTTGTACCCTCAATGAGTCCCCAACAATTAAAAAAAGGTCACTCAAGAGAAAACATAATCATATTTGTATTCAACATGCTGGTAAAGGTACTGTTTTGTTTTTTTTTTTTAAGATGAAAATGGATGAGTTGGGCAGCACCTGTCTAACTCAGGAGTAGGGCACTGGCCCCATATACTGGAGGTGGTGGATTAACCCTGCACCAGCCAAAAACTACAAAAAAAAAAAATTCAAATTTACATTCAGAGGTTTTTTTCCAGGTTTTTTTCCTTTTGACCTTGCTGACTTAATATAATTGAAGTGACGGCATGTTCTGCCAGCAGAGACGCATGCCAAGGCATCACATGACAAATACATGATTAGGTGGAAAAGATAATCATGTTTTCCTATTTTTCCTTAGATTATAAGAACTTGTGTGCCTACTTTATGATCTAACTAAAATGTTCACATTTGTGCCACCATTCCATTTGACAAATAGAGGTTCACTGGTGGAGGGAGGAACCAAAGGCAGTGTGTCCTCAGTTACATGGGAGGAATTGGTTCCACGGCCTCTGGTCCATTCCAAAGCAGTTTTTACTGTTAAATTCTGCTTTGGGCCCAAAGTTTAGTAACAGGCATAGTAGAAGCATAGACACATGTTTGTTCTTAATACTGTCTACCTATAGGAAAATCAATGAGCTCCAAGGGGGCCAAGATACTATTACAAAAGGATTTAAAAAAAAAATCATTGACAGAAATCAACCATACATGCCAAGAACCTAATTTTTTTTTTTTTTTGAGACAGAGCCTCAAGCTATCCCCCTGGGTAGAGTGCTGTGGCATCACAGCTCACAGCAACCTCCAACTC